TGCTCTGCATGCTGAGCACACAGGGCTTCTAAGAGATGGATGCTGATGGAAAGCTGAACTGAAATGCCTTGCAGATGAGCAATAGTCTGACTCTCCCCTCTGCATGTACTCCCTTCCGCTGGAGGATGGGATTGGCCCTGTAAAAGCTTTGCAGAGACCTGGATGTTTGGTGGCTCTGTAGGGGGGAAATGCCCTGGCCACGCTGATGGCTTCTGTCTTCCTGCCAAAATTGGTTTTTTGAGAAGTGACTTACCTACAAACTCTCGGGCTGGAGAACAACCTATTCATCTCTATTTGTGCATCCCCTGGTGCTGTCTTCAGGTGTGGGTATGCCACAATATGGGCCGTTCATTGGGAAAACAACAAATTTGGGTCTGTAGGCACCACCATGCTGATGCAGGAGGTGCCATAGTGCGTGTGCACGTCCATGATATGCAGCAGATCCGGAGCAGCATGTTGGACATTGGCACTACATGGTACTTCAGTGAAAACATTTATCTTTTTCTTTCATTCCAGGGGATGGCCAGGTTGATTTTGATGAATTTATGACTATTCTGGGACCTAAGCTGGTATCATCAGAAGGTAGAGATGGCTTTCTGGGAAATACAATAGACAGCATATTCTGGCAGGTAAGTGGTCATTTTTTTTAAATGCAACTTTAGCCAACTATCAATAGCTTCTAGAATTGATTTCTTGAGGAGCACAAGATGTTTTGCTAAGCGTAAATGCTTGTGTAAAGCCTACTTGGGTCCCTCTTGTTGTGTGCTGTGTAGGATGATCCCGTGTTGCTGGAGGGACCTGCTCTAAGCTGAGCCCTGTGCAGAAGGAAGGGAAAGCCCTTACTGTGGATGAACTGCAGCTGAACACAACAAAGCACCCAGTTATTTATGCAGCATGTCTGGGAGCATTTTGGAGTTCATTTTCAGAGGAGAAAAACATTGTTCTCCACGAGTCTTTTGAGTCAGGAGCCTTGAACCTGTCTGACTGCCACTGTTCAATGTCCCTCAGCTGTGGCAGAGGGATGCCCCAGGCGGAGTGAGGTGTGCTCATGTCTGATTGATGCTTCTGCGGTTAATTTGGGTCTGAGGCTGCGGATAACGATGTGGTGCCAGTGCAAGTTTTCTCCGTGGTGCTGCCCTGGGGTGGTTTGGTCCTGCCAGGTTCAGGCATCGGAGGGGATGCAGGTCTGGCAATGGGAGCTGCCTTGTATCTGTCGTACAGTGTGATTTTGATCAGCGTTAGACCTGCCTGGAAAAGCAGGGACAGTCCAGGCTGCTATGGTGGGGAATAAAATGTGCACAGTGCTGCACATTTCTTGCCAATGCATTAAATGTGCGGCTTCCTGTGAGATTACTGCTCATTTCATTGATCATCCAGCAGCCTTCGTTTGCTACTAAACTTTGGCTGTTACCAAGTTTATGTGAATCAAAAGAGTCAAACTTGGATGCAAGCATTTCTGTCCTCTTTTACTACCCTCCAGCACTGTCCAGACTAAATTGGGTGGAGTTTTGTAAAAGTCTTTTAAAAGCCTTTTAAAAACTTGTTCCTGGCTTCCTGGCATGTGGTAGAAATAACCCTGGAAATTCTGGTCTGGATTCTGGTATTTGGTCGTCAAAGCAAGAGTTCTGTGTTGGTGAAGCCGCCGTGGTTTGTAACGTACCAGGGGGATGTGAGAGCTGAGCTCACACCACAAAAGGCAGCACTGTGGCAGTCACGAATGTTTTATTGCCTCCCTTGCACCTTGCAAGGCTCATCCCAGCCCGTGAGCGATGGGGAGAGGAGGAAGCTCCATCCCGACCCACTGAGCCATTGGTGCCCTGCAGTGAGACTGGCCTCACCGGAGCCATTCAAGAAGCAAAAAAACCTGTTGGGAAAATCAAGTTCATGAGCTGACCTGTTCGATGGGGAAGCAGAGAACTCTGCTAAAGAAGCCCTCCCTAAAATTCAGCTCACAGGTTAACCCGCTGCCGTTCAATGACCCTTCAGCCCATGCAAATGCCTGCGGTGGATTTGCTCAGAGGAGGCGAGGAAGGGCGGACGTGTGCTCTGGTTTTAGGGCAGCAGGGCTCCTGGGCTTGGTGCCACCTTGCCCCCTCCTGCAGCAGGGACAGTGGCCCTCGTGCTGCCCTGGGCTGTGGTGGGACGAGTAAAAAGCATGCAGAGGCTTCAGGGAACCGGCCCCACGGTGGAAAGGGGCAGCCCTGGGGGTTGTCCGCGGGCAGCAAAGCTTTGACTGAATTGCACAAGCGCTCCAGGGCCTCAGAAAAAAAACAGTTTATGGTCTTTTACTTGTGAGGGTAAAAATACATCTCTTTACATAGCACTTTCCTGGATTTCAAAGCCCTTGAAGAGAAGGCTTCATCTCACATTTCGTTTCTCCTGGGGTAGGAGAGCTCATGAAGAATGTAGTAATTTTGCTGCTTATTCCTAAAGAAAAAGCAAGGATAAAGCCCTGTACAGAAGTGCCATTCAGGGAACAGGTTCCCTTTGCCCATTCCTACCCGGCTTCACCGAAACCCTCTGCAGGGCCATAAGTCATCTTGTCTTTAAGCAAAGCATTTATGCATCTGCATTGTCTCTTGTGGGATTACATCTGATTTGAAACAAAGCCCTTTTTGGAATTGGGGCCTGGCTGCGTTTCCCATATCTGTGCAATTTTCGCATTTGCTGGAAAGGAATGGCAGGGAGAGGGGGATGAGTTTGGGTTGCTGATAGACCACTTCACCCCTGCACTCATCCCCAAGGAATGGTTTTTAAGTAGGGGATGGTGCCCATGTGCCTGTGGTTGTGACTGGTGCTAGGTGGCAAGGGCAGCAAGGGTGGGAGAAGGGACAACTCGGCCTTGGTGTCAGCTGCTACCAGGAAACCTCACCCCAAAACTGCAGGCAGCAAAAGGCATCTTGAAGAGGCTCTTATATCAGTCTCAGGGGGAGAGAAAATTCATGTTGGAACCCAGAAAGTGCCTTCCCCTCTTCCATCCGAACAGCTTCCCTCCAACTGTCCCGATTTTGGCTTTTGGGGTATTTTTGCAGCTTTCTATACTGGGGCACTTTTGTGCAGACTGTTCCAAGTGCACCTTAATAACACTTTAAATAATGCAATGATGGAGTTAAATAATAAACAGCGGCAGCAGAAGAGAGGAACTCCAAGGAACAGGCAAGGGCCTGGAGATGCATTTGCAGGCGAAGCTGGGAGTGAGTTGGTGGGATACGGGAAGGCAGTTCCAGATGGCTGAAGCTGCAGAGGGGAAAGATCTTGTAATGACAGCAGTGGGGCTACAGGAGACCGGGAGTGGGTAGAAACAGTGGAATAATAGGGAGGAGAGAGAAGGATCGTGCATGGAAGAGGCAGACTTGAAGTAATCGGGAAAGGGTGCATCCCTCCCGTGGTGTGTGTTGCCTAAAGAGCGATGACCAGCCTGGGGGAAGCAGGATTCAGCCGAAACCTGAGTGTTGTCAGGTGTTAGAGACACGGAAGGTGTCTCAGATACATTTTTCTTCCTTGATTTCTCATGTGGACTTTAAATTGAATCATACTGGTGTGTGTTTAAGACGACTGACTGTTGCATTCTCAGGTAGCGCTGATCAGTTCTGCTCCAGTTAGAATGACTCTGCTATTTAGGGGGAGGGAAAAATCATCCCTGCAAGTCCTATTTCAGGCTGAGTCAATATAGATCAATGATACCAGGAGAGCTGAGCAAACGTGGACTCCTCTCCATCTCAGAAAGTCCGTCTTTGCCGAGTGAGACCCGGCACATGCCAAGCACCGTTTTGCGGAGAACATCCCCGGGCGCCTCCTGCTCTGCTTCAAAATGGTTTTCTCATCCTCATGCCAACTATGCATAAATGGAAGTAACAAGTACCCATGCACAGACAGCTTTAACTGTCGTAAATTTTTAAGACAGTCTTAAATATTTCTTCTTAAATACACAGCTGCCCAGTAACCGTTAGTTAGTCCTCAGGGTGCAGGACCACAGTCAGGAGGAGTTGGAAGGCTGGAAGTTGGAGTTGGAAGCAGTCCCTTCTCCCTGGTTTTGGGGCAGACCTGCCATGGCAAGCTTGCAGCAACAATGCAAACATCCCCTTTGGCTGCTTCCACAGGGTCTGCATTTATTCAAAACAAAATGTAAAGAAGAAAGGAGCACAGATGAGATTTTGGGAGTACTCATTGAAGTCTGTTACAGAAGCCAGTGGCAGGAGGTGAGCCTTGCCAGGGCAGGGGTGTGGGTCTCTCGCTGGTGTCTGCCTCCTTCCCTCTCCATCTTTTTCCCTGTGTATTTTTTAAAAAGTAGGCTCCCATCGCTCACCTTCCTCTGCTCACCTTATCTGCTGGTGCTCACACTTACTGTCCTGAAGCTGTTTTTTTCAGTGTCTCCAGCAGCATTTTTACAGTGATGCGGTAGCCGTTGCACGGTCAGAGAGATGCTATTTGATCAATTTTCAGGCACGAGAATTTGTTTTTCCAGAGCTGAGGGAATACGTGTCTGGTTCCAGTTACCCGCTGAGGGCTGTGCTCTGTGCAGGTGGGTTTTGAGGAGTTTCCAGTGTGTGGCCATTCCGGTCTGTAAAGTGATTTAGATCAAGGGCATTACAGAAAAGACGAACATCACTACTGGTCAATATTAGCTCTTTTTTTTTTTGGCAAACAGACTCCAAATCTGTCCACTATGTCCTGCCGTTCTGAGGCAGGGAGAGGGATGAAAAGAGAGGGGAGAACTGGGATTTCATATTCATTTACAATTTCTGCCCAGGTTGTTTCTAACTGCAAAGACTTTCAGGCACAAGCATTATATAGTTTGCACAGGACATAGGGTAGTGGATCTCCAGTCCCTGGGGTTAAGCAACAAGAACAGAAGTAATAACCGCCTTGCATTATAGGTTTTTAATTAAAATAAACCTCTCTCTCTTGGCCAAAATGCTTTCTGAAGTCAGAACAAGTTCAAATGGTTAAACAGGGCTGCATCTGCACTGGATGCAGAAGAAATTCTGTTCCCAGCAGCACTGATGAGATTATTCTGAAAAGTCAATACTTTGTATGGTGATCATTTCAGAGGCAAAATGCTGCCTGCTCTTTTTTCCCCTCTTTCTGTGCTGTATGCATGTGGAAGCTGCAGGAAACATCATTTCAGCCAGTGCTAAAGCGTTGCCTGTGCAAGGATGTCTGGAAGCTTTGTCGTGCATGAGGGGTCGGCACTGTATCATCTGTCCAGACGTGGTGCCCGTTCGTCACATTAGATATTGCCTGGTATAATTCACTGGTGTTCAGGAGGAGGCTGGTTGGTTTGGGATAAATAGGACTGCTTTGCAGGAGTGGAAAGACCAGAATACCAACGTGGTCCTTCCAGCTGGGGAGATGCTGCTCAGACATCTCATTTCTCTGCCGTAGAGAGGTCTCCGCAGTTTTAGGGGGGGAGGGGGACAGCCAGAGGACTGGGGAGGCACGTCCTGCTACCAGAGCAGCTCAGCAACTGCTCATGTTTTTCTGGGCTTGGGACAACCTTGTTCATCTCTCCAGGTGTCCACGTACCTTTGCTCAGGAGGAGGAATTTTGTGATTTTTGGTGGATGAGTAGGTAGAGCCGAAGCTAGATCCCACGGCACCCCTATGTGAGGGAGGAGGGGTGGCAGGGA